TGGCACCTGACTGAATCCTTCTGACATGAAGCTTCCTTCAGCTGCAAGATGGAATAGATAAAATAATTGCTCCCTTTTGCAAGATAACCAAGCTTTTTTTAAAGTTAGCCCAAGATATAAACATATATACATATGTAGGTCTTTGGTTATTCGGGTTTTCTCCTGCGTAAAATTGGAAGTGTCTTGGCGACGTTTCAACGAAGTCTCATTCATCATCTTCAGGCTGGTGTTTTCGGATCCTAGAAGCACAAAGCCGAAAACACCAGCCTGAAGATGACAAATGAGACTTCGTCGAAACGTCGCCAAGACACTTCCAATTTTAAGCGGGAGAAAACCCGAATAACCAAAGACCTACATACAAACACCCGCAAAAACCTCAGAAAACATATATACATATGCATATACACATATATAATTCATAAATTTGATGACCTGCAACATCAAAGCCATCAATATTACATGCCTAGAGAAATTGGTAGGTAAGGGTGATTAAAACAATGATTGTAATTTTCTGAAATTCAGACTGTCTGGTTCTGATAAAAGAACATGCTATCTATCTATCTATCTATCTATCTATCTATCTATCTATCATCTATCTATCTATCTATCTATCATCTATCTATCTATCTACCCACCCCTTCATTATATTTATTTATTTACCTATTTATTTACTTACTTACTTACCCACTTCCTTCATTATTTTTACAAAAAGCTCAAGGTGGGGAACATATCCATCATAACTTCCACGTCCTATTTTCCCCACAACAACCACCCTGTGAGGTGGCTTGGGCTGTGAGAGAACGATAGATCCAAGACCACCCAGCTGGCTTTCATGGCTAAAATGGGACTTGAACTCACCGTCTTTTGGGATAAATTTGAACCATTGTTGAACAAGTATGTGTGTTTGTGTGTGTATTTTGAAGTATATCTAATTTTATTTATTTGTATCTCACCTTTATTATTTTTGTAAATAATTCAAGGTAGCAAATATACCTAGTACTCCTTCCTTCTCCTATTTTCTCCACAACTGAGAGTGACCTGATCACAGTCATCCAGATCACTTTCATGCCCAAGACTGGATTAGAACTCATGGTCTATTGATTAAAAAACAACAACATTGTTCCTTAATTTTCTGCAGAATTTTTCAGTCCCACCGATAGCTTTCAAAACAATACAATTGTCGTTTGAAGATGGAATTTCAGTCTTCTGAATCCCAAAGTTATGCCATGACACATAACTTTTTTTTAATTAAATTTTATTAACATAAACAAACGTAAAACACAAATACATGTAAACACTTATACATTAACAAAGAGTCAATCGACTAACTTCTAGAAAACCTTCGCATCGGTGATTAATGTCCATTTAACCAATTTTCCTTAATCATACTATTTACAAATTTACTTCCTTATACCTTAATACATTCATTGAAGTTCAGCAGTATCTTTCTACAATCATATTAACCATTTATTTATACAATCCTACAGCTCATCTCATGTATCTATTTCTACAATTCTTGAGTTATGTTCTCCTAATGTCCTATGTTGTTGGCCCTATCCTTCTTTCTAACCATGTGTACCATTTTTGCCAAACTAAATAAAAGTCAGTGTTCTCTTTATCTTGGAGCTCTTTTGTGAGCCTATCCATCTCTGCGCATTCATTTATTTTTGTTATTATTTTTTCTTCTGTTGGTATTATCTCGGATTTCCAATTCTGAGCGTACACTATACGTGCGGCTGTCAATATGTGGATGGTAAGATATGTTATCTCCTTGGTACACTGTGGTGTAGTCATTCCAAATAGAAAGAATTCTGGTTTCATTTCTACACTTTGCCTCGTTGTTTCTTCAATTATTCTCTTAATCTCTTGCCAGTAGCATTGTGCCTTCCTGCAAGACCACCAGAGATGGTAATATGTCCCCATTTGTGTCTTGCACTTCCAACACATTGGTGATGTTTTTGGAAACATTTTAGCCAAACGTGCCGGAGGAATGTGCCATCTATAAAATATCTTGTATAAATTTTCTTTGTATGGAATCGACAGAATGACACATAACTTTTGATTAGTACCAGACCTGATTCTTGTTGGATGTGTAGCAATTACAGGTTTCCCACACACAAACTTCTTCTCTCTAATGAAAGACATCAGGTACTTTCCCATTTCCAAGCAACACGGTAGGAATTATAGGCCTTCCTGGATTCAATCCAGTCCTGAGATAGATTGCCGGAAGAAATAGCTAGAACACATTGAACCAATTCAACATGACTTGGTAAACATGATGCATGTAAACTAAAACAGCCAGCAGAGAGGCAAAAGAGAACCCTGTGTTTATTTAAACTAAAGTACCCTCATGTAACCAAGTCAAAAGTGAAGTGAAATTGCCCTAAACTGCCACCTAGTGAGTTCTCCAAGAAAGAGTCAGAAGGAGAAAACAGTTCAAAATATAAAACAGAACAGAAAAGAACAGAACAGAATTCTTTATTGGCCAAGTGTGATTGGACACACGAGGAATTTGTCTTTGGTGCATATGCTCTCAGTGTACATAAAAGGAAAAAAAAAGAAAAAAGAAAAAATACATTCATCAAGAATCATAAGATACAATACTTAGTGATAATCCTAAATTACTAATAAGCAATCAAATCATACTAGGAAACAAACAGAACAATATAAATCATAAAAATACAAGCAACATGGTTATAGTCATGAGTGGGAGAAAATAGGTAATCATATCAAAGTGAATTCTTTAATACAGAATTCACTGGTAGATTTCTGCTGCCAGAGAAGATACCTTCTAATGCCAGTTCCGTACAATGCCCAAGTCACAGCCACGGAAGTCTAGAGTCTAGAGCAGTGGTTCCCAATGTGGGACCCACACCCCACAGGGGGGAAATTTGATTTTTAATGGGGACAATTGGAACCTTGTTTAAACCAATGGCCTTTTAGCCGTCTTCCGCATGAGTAGAGTTCACTTTTTGAGTAAAGTAAGAATTATATTTCACAGGGGGGAGGTGGCATCAGGATTTTAGAGATGCTTAGGTGGGGCATGGCCAAAAAATGGTTGGGAACCTTTTTTTGGCCATGCCAAAATCGACAGACAATCTCCAATAGAACAAAGGTTTGTCTATTCACTCTTGGTCCAAAGGTTCATGAGATAATAAGAATGTCCTGTTAAGACTACCAGAAGTGAATATCCAACTTATTTCTGTTCGCTACTTAACAAGGAGAAGGCATATTTAAGTTACATCAGAAGACAAATTGTGGTAACTGCTGGATTTATATTTTCATCATAGCGAAGGAGCAGGGTAAACCATTAGTTGGGTCTGCACTGGACCACAAAGTAGATAAACACAATTTAGTCTAGTTAGTTATATAAACCAAGTCTAATTCATATAATTACATTTAAGGGTCAATATGTCAAGTACTGTTGTTGCGCAGCAGACTAAAGTGCTGTTAAATAGCACCAGCTGCCAGCTGCCTGCAATTACTGCGAGTTCAAATCTCACCAGGCTCAAGGTTGACTCAGCCTTCCATCTTTCGAGGTAGGTAAAATGAGGACCCGGATTGTGGGGGCAATAAGCTGACAATAAGCTAAAAAAGAACACTGCTTAGAGGGCGCCGAAAGCCCTACTAAGCAGGTATATACAAAAGTATGAAGGCTATTGTTTAACGCATTGTAAACCATCCTGAGTCTCCGGAGAAGGGAAGCATATAAATCAAACCAATAAATAAATACATACTCAAAATGAAAGAGGGGAGAGGGAGGGGGGAGAGAGAGAGAGTAAACGGTTAATAGTACTGTATACAGGTTGCAAAAATCCAGATGACCACTAGATAGCATCAAAGAGGATAATTTTCTGTATTTCTTTACTGCCTCTACTGTAATGTAGATTTTAGTGTTACAGAACTGGTAGCCCTGGTATAAACATAGCCATTAAGTGTCTGGCTGCACAATATGTACTAGAACAATAATGTTTTTTTTTTATTTATTTTCATATTAAAACGTTTGTTGCAGGATCATTGTTGCACATTGTTGTGTTTGAACAACATAATATGTTTGCACAACACAATGAATCACAAACTAGCCAAATAAGTTTTAATCCAGGATGTTATATAAATTCAACCCACATAGTTCAGTGTACTCTGCAAATCTTAAAAACTGGGTTGAGGAAAAAGACAGTCAAATTAACAGTAAATGCACTGTACAAGCTGCACATATGTTAGTGCTTTTGACTACAATTCCCTCAGTTTCTGCTCATGCTCATGCTCATTTTTATTACTGGGCACTGAAGTCTAAACCATCAGATCTAGTCTACATGCATTTTGGGTTTCAAATCGAACCATCTTTGCCCATTATTTTTTCTGTATAGAATCTGATGACAACTTGTAGAGCACGAAGCTTGCTCATTACTTTCTAACGTTCTGATTGGCCAATTTGGATTATTAATCTAATGTTTACCAGACACCCGTGGGAACAAATAAGGCTCACTCTTGAGCGGTAATTTCGTGCCAAGTTAAAAGCTTGATATTTGAATTCAATAAATTTTCAATCATCTGTTTCACATGTGTGTACCTGTAAAGAAGATAACTGGCTTCATTCGATTATAAATCCATATATGAATATTATCTTTATTAGGACCAATCGAGGGATCATAAACTAGTAAACGCGTTTCTAACTTCTCGGTAAACTGATTGCAGCACAATAATAATGAGCCGTTCTATCTATATATATCCTGTCTTCATTTATATCGGACGGCACTTTAGAAAAACTTTCTTCTTCTTCCGTTTTCCCTTCGCGATTCCGTAAAAAACGTCCGCTACAAGATAGGACAAGCTCCTATAGATCCCTCGAGCTGCTGCTGTACGATGTTCACTACGGAACCAAAAGTTCCCTTGCAGCTTCTGGAAGAAAGTGGGAGTCGCCTTCCCTCTCCTAGAGACGCCTTATTCTCCCGATTAGCTAAAGCCAAGAGCTACGAGACCTCAGGCGAGTCTTCCCTTACCTTTTCCTCCTGCCGAAAGCACACAACGCCCCGAAAGCCAGAGCGGTAGCGAGCGCCAGACCGTACACGCCAAAAGGCAGCCACTCCATGAGGCCCATGTTGTGGAGAGGCTCTTTCCTCTCCAGCTACCGAAAGAAGAGATCGTTCCTACGCTCGGTTAAGTTTCTGCGGGGCAGCCGCTCCTTCCCTTCGCCCTCACGGTCGCTTAATCTCTAGCGGCGTTCCGGGAAGTTTGGAGCTCGACGCCAGAAAGCCAAACTCGAATGAGCAACCTCGCTCCCGCTGGAGCTCGGGAGTCCCCGGCCCCTCCTCTTGGGATCGGCCGAAAGAGTTTACACAGGAAAAGGGAAAGGGTGAGGCCTTCTCCCCCACCCTTCCCCGCCCCTTTCCTTGCGAAATGAAAGAGCGATTGTTCTTCGAAGGAAAGGTGACAGGTCCGAAAGTACAACCGATCAGTCTCCCAAAGTTGGCAGAAAGCTTCCCGCGGGAAAAGTCCCAAGATCCGAGAAATCTTAACCCATCTTTACGCGCTCGAATTCTTAGACGTTTTGTTGTTTTTAGCTTTGCTAGGGATCGGCTCTGTATTTCAGCGTACAACCATTTGGCCTGGCAGAGTTCCAGTATCCCAGAGGAATTTCCCAGAACCTTTCGAAAGATGAGGGCAGCTTAGAGTGTTCTGCTGATTCACTCCTCTGGAAACCAAGCTTCCCATCTTCTGTTTTAATCAATCAATTATCAACCAGAATAGAGCTGGAAAGTCCTCCCCCCTGCTCAAACAGATTGCACGCTGGTCTGTCTAGGGTAATGCACCTCATCCAGAACTAGAATGGGAGAACCTTTGCTCCCGAAGGTCCAAATACCTACAGCCACTCTGTCTAGCTAGGGTTGAGTCAGAGGCCGATTTTGCCCCATCCAAACCCAAATAGTCTCCAGACACTGGGATAAGACATCCGCAGCATCACTCAAGGGGCCTGTAATAGAGATTTAAAATTGGGTGTCAGCAGGTTCTGACCAGTAACAGAAATTTTGAGTAGTTTGGAGAACGGTAAATACCACCTCTGACTGGCCCCTGCCCCCATCTCTGCCTCCCGAGTCCCAGCTGATCTGGAGGGAATGGAGATTTTACAGTATCCTTCCTCTGGAGGAGGGTGGGAATGGAGATTTTACAGTATCCTTCCCCTGCCACGCCCACCAAGCCACGCCCACAGAACCGGTAATAAAAAAATTTGAATCCCACCACTGATCCACACTATATATTGATGATATCTCACCCCAAACACTGGATATCTCATCCAGTGGCCTCATGTAGATGATAATCAGGAAAGGAGAGAAAACCAAATTCTGAAGCACCTCACAAAGTAGCCTGGATCTCTCCCCACTTATCAACTTCCTGAGGGAAGGAGGAAAACCAGCACAACACAATACCATTCACCCCCAATTCCTGGAGCTAGCCTAGAAGGATACTCTAACCGATGGTATTGAATGCTGAGGAGAGGTCAAGAACAGGGGTGAAATGCTCCTGGTTCGGATCAGATCGCCCGATCCAGTAGCGATGACAGCAGGTGGTTCAGAGAACCAGTAGCAAAAATCCCTTCCCCCCCCACGCCCAGCTTAACCGCACGATCATCAGAGGCTTTTTTTTTTTAATTTTTAAAAGCATTTTTTCTACAACCTCTTCGGCTGAAAAAATGCTTTTATAAGTAAAAAAAAAAAAGCCTCTGATGATCATGTGGCTCAGCTGGGATTGTCAGAGGCTTTTAAAAGCATTTTTTCTAAAAGCTCTTCGGCCAAAGAGGTTGTAGGAAAAATGTTTTTAAAAGCCTCTGACGATCCCAGCTGAGTTGCCTGATCCTCAGAGGCTTTTAAAAGCATTTTTTTACAACCTCTTCGGTCAAAGAGGTTGTAGAAAAAATGGTTTTAAAAGTTAAAAAAAAAAGTTGGCCACGCCCACTCAGTCACATTAAACCCCTCCCCACCAAGCCACGCCCACAGAACCGGTAGTAACAAATTTTACATTTCACCACTGGTCAAGAATAGCTAGAGTGGAGGTACTATCTCCATCCTGCTCCCATTAGAGGTCATCCGTGAGAGCAATCAATGCCATCTCAGTCCCAAACCCTGCCTTAAATCCCTACTGAAAATGACCTGGGTAATCTGCTTCATCTAAGGCCCTCTGCAATTGCCACACAACAACTCTTTCCACAATTTTCCCTAAAAAGGGAAAATTGGAAACTGGGCAAAAATTGTCTCGTTTGGTTAGATTAAGCAATGATCCTTTCAGGAGAGGGTGTACAACCACTTCCCTATGAGCTGATGGAATCATTCCCTCTTTCAAGGAGGAGTTAACTATTGCCCAGGCCCATTCCCTTGTCCCTCCCACACAGTTTTAATAAGCCAGGAAAGGCACGGATCTAATATACAAGTGGCCAAACCAGCAGCTGAGAGCGCCTTGTCCACTTCCTCAGGCTCAAAATCTTCCCAGGTCATTTTGCAAGACATCCTACCAGCTCCACCAATTCTGCTTTAAAACTGGTGTCCAACGTAGAGCGAATATGAGTGACTTTGTCCACTACATGTGTAGCATATTCCTCCCAGCAATCCTGGGAGGAAGGTGAGCTTCAGAAGGTGAGACTCAGTCAGAAGAGGGACCAAATCAACCCAAATAGGGCCACTGGGCGGCTATCAGCAGATACAATAAGGGCAGAGAAATAGTTACGTTTTCCCACCCTTACTGCCAGGAAGTAGGCCCTAATACCGGTAGTAGCTTAGCTTGTGTCTGCTCATCCTCACTTCCTGTTTTTTTTGCCGGTGATACTCTAGGTGTCATAAAATTGAGTTCGAGCCACTCAAAGTAGAGTTTTCCAATAGTTCTTTTATTCTTGTGTTATTCGTACAAAAAGCAAAGCAAGCATGGAACTACGTTTAATTAGTCCCTTTATATTTGTACGTATACTGGTCTAATTTCAAAGTTATCTTACTATAATAAGCTAAGTCCAACAAGGCTATTCAGTTTACTATGCCCAACAAGGCTACTCAAGTTGCTGTAAGTATTGTGTAGCCCAACCAGGCTACACATTCAAACAATACTCACATGCACTCTCAACATAGGTGATCAGGCTGTGTTAGAGTGGACTGGGAAGCAGACTCAGGGCATCCCCTGCTCCAATAAGAGTTGTCTCACACTTCAGGGGTCTGGGTTCATTCAAGTCTTCTCTTTATATCCAGCTTGTTTAGTCTGAATCCATACACCCACTAGTGTTCCCCCTGGTAGCATCAGCAATAATTCACTCACAAACACATCCAGAATCTTTTGTTATCAGTGATACACGCATTCCAGCAATGTGAGCTTCCCCGTGGGTTCAGGAAAAGGCTAGATATGGTTGTACTATATGGCTCGCTATATTAATGATTTATTCTAATATATGGTATTATACACTAGCTAATAACTCGGCATTGCCCGGGTATTTATTTATCCCAATCCTGTATTACCCAAGAAGAGCAACTTCACCCTGAGCCGTGATTTCGGCAAGAATTAAATTAAAAATGTTTTCCCAATGCCCCCAGAAGCGTCAGGTAAGATCACCACATAGCTGATCCATGATCATTTAGTATGCTTTTGTCCGCGATATATGCATTAAGCTGTTCAATGTTGTAGTTCTTTTCTCATATGTAATCTGCGTGAATTACGTCGTGTCGGTCTCGTAGTGGTGCAGGCAGGCTGAATTTCAGTAATGTTTTATTGATCATGGCCATACATTTGTCCTCAAGAATAATCAAAGCCTTGTTGAAAATGTCCGGACCAAAGGTAATTTCTAATTTACTTATTTATTGTATTTATTGGTTCGATTTATATGCCGCCCTTCTCCGGAGACTCAGGGCGGCTTACAATGTGTTAAGCAATAGCCTTCATACTTTTGTATATACCTGCTTAGTAGGGCTTTTGGCCCCTCCTAAACAGTGTTCTTTTTTATACAAAGTCAGCTTATTTCCCCCACAATCCGGGTCCTCATTTTACCTACCTCGGAAGGATGGAAGGCTGAGTCAACCTTGAACCTGGTGAAATTTGAACTCACAGTAATTGCAGGCAGCTGGCAGCTTAGTGCTATTTAACTGAACTTTAGTCTGCTGCGCCACCAAGGCTCTTTTAAATGTTGGATTTTCCCCCTTACCAGGGGACTACTGGACTTGTGGACTACTGTGAAGCCGTTACCATGGCAACTCTACTGGGCTGTACAGTACAGTAGAAGCCATTTTAAGGCACAACAGGCTATATTTTAAGAGAACACACACTCCAAGGGGTGATAAGGGTGTCTTACCGCCACAGTATTTTTTTTCCAGAGTGTAAGTCATCTGTGTACCAAGTTTGGTTAAAATTGCTCAGTTTTGCTGGAACATACACACACACAGCCATTTATAGATAGATTATGTATCATTTATAATTCAACTGTATATCTATAGGATATAACATATAATATGATAGGCATCTCTTAGACTATTTAAGTTCCCCCAATTTCATCATTCTCATTCACTTTTTTAATGATGGTATAATATGAGGTTAAATTATAAAAAGAAAGATATTGTCCAACAATCAAGACTGCAGTAAGACAGACAATCCAGTTTTAAAATTATAAACTAGAAATGCTAACCTCTGCCTAAGAATTCATATTATGATATTAGTAGCTTCAGTTTAATTATTATTACTTATTTTTAACAAGTTTTACAAAAAAGAATAAAAAATGCAAAATGCAAAAAAAGAACTCTATGAAAAACTATAAAAATAAAGCAAGCAAACAAAGAAAAGAAGAACAGGAAAACTATTGATATATATTATATATTAATCAAATGTCAATCAAATATATAAATCTACTGGGGGGGCATTGATTGCATAACATTAAAAAATGTATAATCTATGACACAGAAAATCATATTGAGTTGTTTTCCATTAGTTGATAAGTTTCATTAGTACAATGTACCAGTAAATATTAGAGTTTATAGTTCATATAGTTTATTTTCAGTATCAAGGACTTTACATTACTAAAAATATTTCTACATATGGGGAATTAGATATTGTTTAGAGAACATTGCCATAGATATTGATAGATGGATTAAAATTTCACTGAGTTGGTGGGATAAAATTAATTTCATTAAAATGAATACTGCTCAGAGGTAATCCATATATTAAGAGGTATGTTAATGCCAAATAATTGTTTCTTTGGATAGATGTGTGGATTTCAATTGCTAAAATTCCCCAGCCAGCATTCTGGGATTTGAACTTTATGCATCTTAAAGTTGCCAATGTTAAGAAACACTGTCTTAGATGTATTAGTCCATCAAATTTATCATTCTGCCA